TATTCAGCGAAGGGTGAGACAAAGGGGAGTTTTAAGAAGTTTCCAAAAGTTTTTAGGATCAGTTTTAAATTGATGATTTAAGAATCCTTTTTTTTTTCAAACATCACAGATCTGTTGACAAAATTTCTAAGGACCTTATATTCAGGTTTAGAGCGTTTATACTTTAAATAGGTAAGCTATGTATTTTCTTTAACTTGATCATATATTTTAAGTTATCAGTAAGCCAAGGGGCAGGTAATTTGGTGAATCTAGCAGTTTTAATACCAATAGGTTCAGTAAAATTAAGTTTCCTTCGATAACATGAATGAAGTATTTTTTTTATATGAATGTCTACTTTTATATTCATATATTTACAATTTTTTGTATTAATAATTAGTTTATTATTACTAAATTAGTAACTTATACAAGACATTGATTCATAGATGCTATTAGTTTGTTCATATTTTTACCAATGTTATAGAGAACAACAAACAAATGAATTTTAACTCATATAAGACTAGAATTGTACCAAGTAACCAAGTACACTACCTTGTCAATATTCTTATTTTTTAGATATACTACCTATTATTTTACTTTTTTTTTATCTATATTAAGTACTTGAATGTGAAGCAATCAAGTTATTTTCGTTTAACCAACTATAATTTAAGTTTACCTACTTTAAAAATGCATTTGTTAATAACTTCAAAGGCCACACATAAATATAAAAAAACTATTATAATAATTTGACCTTGTCAGTGGTATAGTTGAATAATTAATTATTTTTCCATTTCGAAAACTTGATTGATTTTGGGAAAGCAATGTTTATGTGTTGTTCTAATATGTTAATTGTTTATAAACAAAGTTAGAATAATTTTTCTAAACAAAATGCTTATAGTCCTAAATTCTTCGGGTATTTCTTCATATTAAATGTTTTAAAATTTCCAGAAAAGAACTTAAGTATTAATATAATGTAAAAGAGGATAGTAAATAACGTCAAGTGTATTTTGTATCAATTTAAAATTTATTCCATTTTCTGAAAATTTTGCAAAAATGATTTTTTTTAACTCCGATATTGTCAATTCTTCCAAATTTTTTAGGTCTCCTGTATTACCGTGTTACATCCTATTATAAAATATAGATGATTATGAAAACGGATCCAGCCATTTTATGTTTTCTATAAGAATTCAAGTCCATCAATCATATTCATTATTTTGATTGACTCGTTTAGATTTCTTGTAGTACCGTTACCCGCTATTCCTTCAAATTGTTGTTTATTGGCCCCAGGGCCAAAGATACTGTATTAAATGACAGGTTTAATTCCTTACTAGTCTAATATATCTAGTCTCACACTATAATTATGAATAATATATGAACAGGAATATAATTATGAATAACACAAAATTATTTTCGTAAAAACGAATTTAAGTAAAAAAACCTTCGCCTTCACCTTTTTATCTAGTCGTATTTTCGAACATAAATTGCTGTTCTTTATACTTCGCTCAGTTTATACGAGTATCAATATCGATAGCATAAAAAAGGACAGACATTTTTTTTACGAAAAACCTTCTATTAAGCATTTGAAATATTTAATTGCAAACTATGCTATTTTTTTAAACTTTATTACTAATTTTATATATTATTGGTCCTTGTTTCCTTCAAATCACTCCCCTCCCCTATTCACACAGTTTCCCCAGCGGTGTTTCCGTTTCGCGAAGTATTCCTGAATAGCCTCATTTGATATGGTCTCTAAAGTGACGAATTTGCTTTGATGTCGTCAATAGCCTGAAAACGGCGTTCTTTCAGCACTGATTTTATTTTAGGAAAGAAGAAAAAATCGCAAGGAGCTAGGTCCGGCAAGTAAGGAAGGTGAGGGAGGATAGTAATCTGATTTTTGACACAAAATTGACGAATTGACCAAGTTGAGTATGTGCGCATTGTCATGGTGCAAGAACCATGAGTTGTCTCGCCACAACTCTGGTCTCTTTTTGGGGATTTTTTTGACGAAACCCGTTGTAAAATGCCTTGATAGTACATTGTTTCACCTTGAGGCAAGAACTCAAAATGTACAATTCTATTAAAGTTGGAAAAAAAAACGGTGAGCATCACTTTGACATTGGATCTATACGAGACTGACGTGGTTACTTGGGTCGTGAAGATCCTTTGCCAATCCATTGTGTTGATTGAACTTTTGTTTCAATGTCGTAAGTCAGAACTTGCATAAAAAATTTGAAAAACTATTAACAAAGATCTACAATAATAAGACTGACCGAGAAAATTTCAAACTGGAAACCAGACTTTACTTTTTTATTGAGATTTTTAACGCTCTCAATCTGAATCCAACTAAAAATTGTTTCATCACGTCAAATTTTCGAGATATCTTAATCTAAAAGTGAGAAAATGGTATTTCACTATACTTATTTGTGGTTATGTTACATTTCGAGGTAATTTTTCTCCAGAAAACTCGTTGCGGCATCTGAAAGCATTACTTTCTTCTTCAAAGGCCATTTTGAAGAAACTTTCCAATTTCTCTTTTCCTCTTCGAAAAATCTTTGTTGAAATTGATTAATTTGGCGTACACGTCGATATTTGGAAATTGATTAGCATTAGGTGAATACACAAAGAAATGAACTAAATTATAAACACCTAATTCCCAATGGTTCATTAGGTTTTCTGGGTCACTGATTACGAATCTGAAGTCCAAATCTTTGACTTTCTGAAACTAGGAGTTATCAGTTGAACTCGAAGGCCTCGAGGATCATTTTCAATTGACTGGCGACCGCTTTGAAATTGCGAAAAACCATTCTTAACATTCCGTACGACCCAAACCATCATCAACGTCAGCTTGTTTCAAAAGTTTGTGAAAGTTTTCTCCAGTTTCATGGAAAATTTTACGTTGCATTGTTGTTCCAGAAAATCGCACATTTCAAAAATCGTCACAAACACTGAAACACGTTGCGCTCAAATAACAATATCATGAAAAATAAATAAGGTATCAACAATCCAAGAGCATGTGGTTACAAAGGAAGTTATGCGCATCGCAATGCTGCCCACCGCCTATCATTAAATATCTTTATTAATTCAAAAAGTTCTGTTATTTTCTGACAAACCTGGTATATATTTTTCAAAATAAAAATTTTTCATTTATGTACTTACATAAAAATATAGAGCATTTTGTATCTTTTTACCAACATACCGAAAAATGTGGAAGATACAAAGTACCTCCATATTTTTAAACACAAGTCATGCATTAATTTTCGAGTTATTAAAATATTTCAGTCATTAAAATGAACACTCCATAAATATTTAATAGGCCCAGAAGTGATTGTGGCTAAGCAGACAGAAGTATGTTGTAATTGGTATGGCGTGGTTCTTAAAAATTAATAACTGGCACTGAATTGTAACAAATGTTGTAATAATTGAAATGTAATAATTAGGTAATAAGCTTTCAGAGGGGAATGGTACGATGCATATACATAAAATTTGTCCTCAGATACACGCAAGCATGTGAAAAGAACGTTTTTTTATTTAGGGCTTACTTTTAATGTTACAGGGAAAATATGTCGAAAAACGGGTAATTTTTCGTTCTTTTTCAGGCATTGAATACCAGCGATCATTTGAGAAGAAACTACATAGACGTCAAAATAGCTAGATCATTCGTCGTTTGTTTCACCTATAGCATAATATGATAAGAACCAATAAGTTGTATATACATATAACTAATATGTTGTATAACCTTGTATATGTCTGATGGTTCTGCTGACGAATGATTTACAACATACTAGTTTCATTCAAAACTGTCGATGTCACATAGATGATATGTGTCAATTAAAATGTTATCAACAGAGATAGAATTTAATTAAGAAAATAGTAAAATTGACAATTTTATTTTTGCTTTTGCTGTTAGCAAAAAAACTTAAGCACGTGACGTTTGCATTATTTTAATCCTGTAACAGTGATTTTACCTGGTCGCCGAGATCCTCAATCGCGGCGAAGCTTTTGGTGAGTCACCACTGAAGATGCCGGAAGTGAAGAACAGCGACACGTTTGGAAGCACTGGATGGGGCCAGTTGCAGAGGCCACTGTGGAATGTCTCAGAGGATCAACATTATCTGAGAAACGGTTCCGTCCGTCGCGACCTTAGACCCAATAAGAACCTAAAAGAGCTAATGGGCGGGTTCTAATAATTACTGCCCACACGGAGCTTAGCCCGAGAACAACAAGGGCAGGTCAAAGATTCGTAGACTTTAACGTTCGCATAGTCAGAAACTCAAGACCCTTATCCCCTGGCCCTATTGCGACTTTTGTACATTCTTACTACGTAATTGGAAGAACAATAATACATAATTTACAATAGTCTTCCTTTTAGTATTTTAGTATATACAAATTAAAAAATCGCAAATCACGCATTTACCAAACCCTATATCATTGTAATTAATTAGGTGTTCTCGATTACGTAATTTCGAAAAATATGGTAGCTCTTGGAATTCAAAGTACGCTTATAGAATAAAAAATGTACAAACCTTTTGTGGAGGGTATCCTATTTATTGTTCATCCTATACTCAGCTGTTCTGACACATTTGCCCAGTTTTAATCTTATTACTAGTTTCATTAAGACCTAGATCCCTTATTTCTTTTTAATTATTAAATTATTGAATTATTATTAGTATTTTTTATATACGAATTTATATTTGTTTTGTATTTAACGAATATATAACAATCAGTTGCTTGCATTTTTGACCTCAGAAAATGTATTGGTTCCGTGTTTCCCAACATAGAGTTACATTAGCCTGGGGAACTACGGAGACATCGGTAAAAAATGTTTTGTCAGCATGGGTTACATTTAGCTATCGAATAGATTCACTATTCTTTCTTAATTTTTATGTCCCATAAATAGGCTATCTAAGTATACTTATTCGAAGAACAACAATAAATTCATTTGTACATTATTGTTCCATTACAAGTGTAGCAGTTAAATAGTGAAATAATACTAATAAAAAAAGCAACGAGTTCATCTTACTTACCTACTCATAACAAGTGCTTTAACACTGCAGTTTGCAGTCAGTCTACAAACATGAAGAACTTACTTTCTCTATCACTATGCAAATTAGTTCTTGTGCATTTACTTCATAGCCTTCTTCTGGCTCGCGCAATATCCCCCGGTTTTCTTATTTTCTTTATTACTAAAATCGAATCTTGCGAAAATGGTTTCATTAGTAATGTAATAAAGTTACCGTTAGCATCAACGCTGTTCGTCTTTCATCATCCTGACTTTGTTTACAAATTGACTACGTGTTCTTGATTACCTGACCGGTTTAAAAATAAATAAATGACAGGGTCTAATAATATTTCTACCATTAGCTATTCTTTGTTGGTACTACTACGCAATTTCGTATGGTCAGATACGTTGGACTCATCGCCCAGATGAGTCAAAGCTGTGCTAGATTAATGTTGCTTTTGGATTAGTAATAACTAATTCCTACACAACACTTTTTAAGGACGTACAAGTATTGTTCAATAAAGGTTTCAATACTTTCCTACAGATAAATGAATAAGAAACAGTGGAGAATACAGGAGGGAACAGTGGTGGTAATATACAGCCTCACTTTGTTTATAATTTTTTTTACCAGACATCAGATATTTCTTCAACATTTGCATAAATACTTAGACAAAGCGAAAACCGCGCATTCGTGGGAGAAATTTTCCGACTCGATTTTTTTGCATATTCAGATTCGTGAGATGCTCCTTAACATGAATCAAGATGATCCCGGCCGGAAATCTGGTGCCCATTTGTTTAAACAAACTTTTTTAACAATTTGTAAAAATTGGTTTTTTCACTCCGGATTTTTTTTTTAGGTTTTTTGGCACAATATGCACTATGCCTCTAAAATTGATAATTTTAAAGTTATAAACAATTTAAGTTGCCAAAAATGCGAAAATGAAGATTTCCAACGGCTGATTTCGCGAGCGGCTCATTCATAACGCTTTATTAACAATTAAAAAACAAGGCTTTAGAATAACCGAGTCCCAAAAACTCTTCAGCATCTTGTAGAGGGATGTTTAAACTTTAATTCAGGTACCTGGCAACATCAAAAATAACAATTTTTAACCCAGAAATCGGCCGTTGAAAATCGTTATTTTGGCATTTTTAGCAACTTAAATTGTTTATAACTTAGTGGCATAGTGCATAGGAACTTTTTTGTTTATGTTCCAAAAAGCCTAAAAACAATTTTTCCGGAGTGAAAGAGCCAATTTTTACAATTTGTTTAAAAAAAGTTTGTTTAAACAAATGGGCACCAGATTTCCGGCCGGCATCATCTTGATTCACGTTAAGGAACATCTCACGAATCTGAATATGCAAAAAAATCGAGTCGGAAAATTTCTCCCACGAATGCGAGGTTTTCGCCTTGTCTAACTGAGGTCGTGACTGGACTATTATCCCCATTTTGTGGTATTATTTAGTACCTATTTAGAGTAGCTTTCATGAAATTTTTCAAATTTTTATTTCAACCCCTCAAGAAGATATGAGCATTTAAATATTTTAGGTAAAAAAATTTCATATACTTACCTGTAATTTGGCAAAAACTAAAGATATCATAAACTTTTTTTTTAATTTTGTCCGTTTTGAGACGTAGTTTTATAAAAAAAATTTAAACAAAAAAAAAGCTTTTTGAAAAAGAAAAGTTCTTAAAAAAATTGTCGTTCAAAATGCAAATTTATGAGACAGGTTCTTCTTTTATTCTATCTTTTTCTTTTCGAATGAACAAAACAGTCACATATTTATACATATAGATACAATAATATTAAATATTTTTTTCACACCCAGAACATCCATAATCCATACTTTCCCATGATTTTGGATTTTATATTGTTAATTATTTCTTTGACATTTTCAACATCAGGTAAANGCAACTTAAATTGTTTATAACTTAGTGGCATAGTGCATAGGAACTTTTTTGTTTATGTTCCAAAAAGCCTAAAAACAATTTTTCCGGAGTGAAAGAGCCAATTTTTACAATTTGTTTAAAAAAAGTTTGTTTAAACAAATGGGCACCAGATTTCCGGCCGGCATTATGTTGATTCATGTTAAGGAACATCTCACGAATCTGAATATGCAAAAAAATCGAGTCGGAAAATTTCTCCCACGAATGCGAGGTTTTCGCCTTGTCTAACTGAGGTCGTGACTGGACTATTATCCCCATTTTGTGGTATTATTTAGTACCTATTTAGAGTAGCTTTCATGAAATTTTTCAAATTTTTATTTCAACCCCTCAAGAAGATATGAGCATTTAAATATTTTAGGTAAAAAAATTTCATATACTTACCTGTAATTTGGCAAAAACTAAAGATATCATAAACTTTTTTTTTAATTTTGTCCGTTTTGAGACGTAGTTTTATAAAAAAAATTTAAACAAAAAAAAAGCTTTTTGAAAAAGAAAAGTTCTTAAAAAAATTGTCGTTCAAAATGCAAATTTATGAGACAGGTTCTTCTTTTATTCTATCTTTTTCTTTTCGAATGAACAAAACAGTCACATATTTATACATATAGATACAATAATATTAAATATTTTTTTCACACCCAGAACATCCATAATCCATACTTTCCCATGATTTTGGATTTTATATTGTTAATTATTTCTTTGACATTTTCAACATCAGGTAAAGCAACACGGAAAAAATATATTTTAAAAATTTACACAATTGAAGCACTGTTGACTATAATTTATTCAGAAAATATAAGTTGTGACACACATACTATAATAGAGTTAAATGTGTAAATATTAATATAATCTCAGAATTTCATAGACTACGAAAGTTTATTTTTGTTGAATTGTTTTAAATTGCTATTGGAAATATATTTTTGACGTAAAACATCTTTACATTCAGCAGTTCTATATCAACAATATCGTTCCATGTAAATATATTGTTTATTATGTGGTTTAAGAGTTACCCAAACCAAGATTTATCTTTTTAAAAAAATATATTAAATTTGTTGTTAATACATAAAATGCAAAACGCTCCCAAAAATTGTACCTGTGCCAATTTTGGCGTAAACAAGCTTTTAGTTTGTTCTGTTCCTGTTGATAAAACCTCTAATTGTAAGATTCATACGTTTTTCGTATTACAGTCGATATCCCATATAATAATTACACAATATTACACAAATTTTATTTAATACGTGATATCTTTACCCCTTTTCAAATGAACAAGATGTTCCAAATTAACAACAAAGTTGTACAACCTTCTCTGGAAATGTAATATTATAATATTCCCATGAAGACATGACACAAAGTCCCTTTATTCTCATTTCAATAACACTTTGAATTTTATGTAAGGTACTTACTTGGTAGTTATAAAACATACTGACAAAGAAAGTACCTACATAGTGTCCTGAATCCACTTTAGGCAAACCATTTGATTTATTTAAACTCCTCAATTCACAATACAATAATCAATTTGATCAATATCGTGAGTTTTTGACCAATAGTCAATAGTTGCCAAACTCGTATATTATGATCAAAGTTCAGAAATTCAGTGTGAGTGTGTAAAAGAGCTTAGTAAAATAATAGCTTTATACTATTTATGATTTTTTCTTGCTGATTATCATTTAATATTCCAAAAGAGGTTCTGCTGAGGTATTGATTTTTGGTGTTTCATATTTCGATCTAGAAGAAATTCAGTGTAAGTGTGCTATATTTTCTTTTAGTAAAATAATAGTCTGGGTACTATCATTTATGACATCTGCTTCATGGTCATTTTTAACACGTCAGGTATTATAAAGGAGGTTCTGTTCACACACATCTTGGTTTATGGTGTTCCATGTTTCATTCTTCATTTGATTTCGCTCTTTGTTCCCTGATAATTTCCGAAAAATCTGACTTGTCAATGAAATTGCTCTTCGATTGTTTTGATTTATTACATGACTTATTCGGGATTTAAATCTACAATATTGGGAGTTGTTCATTAACAGTACAGGAGAATACACTTTAGATAAATTTTCCTGGAGTTTGTATTACCTTGTATAAAAAATGGCTTGTATTTTTAATGACTCACTGTCCTTATGGTAATATACATAAATAAATATGTTATCAATTCTACATTGTCTTTTCATTGTACCTCCATATACTTTATCTGGCAGCTGGTTCTTTATCAAAGGCAAATATACCTGCATATCTGCTATTTATTTATTCATGCCAGTCAGCTGATTACATACAACTAGAGCAAACAACGGAACGACTAACACAGGCAATTAGAACAGGAGTACATCGGCTATTAAATTTCATGGCTCTTACGAATATAAGACGCGTTTGTCGATTTGGACGAGCGGGTTTACGTTTACGAGGGTAGAACACTTACCTGTGGCCTTGCCAAACTTGCCCTTACTTCAACCTTAGTTCTGACGTAGTGCAGTACCTTCGTACGAATGCTTTGCGCGCCAGCTTTCTTCGGTCAGGTAACTTGGAGGGGACGGGGACGACTCTAACCGTTCACAATCAACTCCGTCGAAGCTTGGAATTCCATGCAACGTTTACTTTACAAACAAACGCGACATAGACCACGTCGTGCCGAATCTAGTAGGCATTGGGACTGTGTAAAATAAAGCTCAGTTGTTCTCGCGTGTACCACTGCGTCTTATTTTTATCCGGTGGCCTCCTTTGCCGGTCTTGAACTTCACGGCATGTCCGTTACGTCTCGTGAATTTAAAATTGTTTGTGTCCCTCGGAATTTCGGTGTGCAGCCAAACATTGTAATGTGTAATTGTTTGCGAGTGCTCTTGAGGTGATCTTTTGACTGAAAGTGAAGTTGGAAGTTGGGTACCTAGTGTTGATACAGATCCATTGAAAATGAAGTACAACACCATCAGCACAAGCAGTTTGGCGAGCGAGGGGAAGAAGTCTACCTTAACTATATATGCAGATATGGATATATCGCACAACAAGGTAAATACTTCTGTCTGGACTATTTTTTTCCTTCGTGTCACGCGAGAAACACCCTTCTCTTATGCATAACCTTAATATCTGACTCAACTTGTTTCAATCTCAATGTAAGCGTAAATGATTGATGTATTGTTTAGCATCGACAGATATTGATGAAATAAAATACACGCAGCGATTGTTGCTCCGGAGATATGTGGTAGGTAAATTGCCTTTATGTCTTTTGATTGGAATGTTTGGTATGCGGAAGAACGGCTTATTTGGCCAGCTCAATGAGAGGATGAAAACTTTCCTATGCCTAACTGGTTATAAAATTGTATCAAAAAGGAATCACTTGAAGGAAAGTGGGATACTTATATCAAAACATGTAAATTAGATTTATGAACGTGTGTGTCACTTCTACTGGTATCGTTTTATCTTAACTATTTATTTTATTTTATCACAAGAATGCTTATTGAAGGCTAGTATCTCTAATAAGTACATGCTAGGTGGGTATATAATGTAAAAGGTATATGAAGTATTTCTCCACCCTCTGGAATTCCATTTATCTTTACTCTGATACTAAAGTGTGGGAGGGTGTGGTAGGTGGAAGTAGATGTGGAGAATATGAATTACTTCTCTGCTATTCGATTAGAAGCTTATCTAAGTGATTTAAGTTATTATTTTAAGATAAAATTTATATGATCATAAAGGAGGTATTGCTGCTTCAAGATATAGAGAAAAGTAATAATGTTACGAACACCATGTATATATAAATTTTAAAAATTTAATGAAGAAATATTGTGCAATGTGTTCACTATATACCAAAAGTGATTATCTTATTTTTTTTATTATAAAGGTAGTAAGCTAATTCAAATAAATTCAAATTTTTTCTAAAAAAATCCTATTAAATGAAGTCAAACAATGTTTAATACAAAAAAACTAGATCAGATTCCTAACTGTTGATATTGCAGGAAACTACTGTATGGGATATATGCCCCAAATAGCATTAAGTTACGCTAACAGTATCTAGTAAATAGCGAATGATTAATAAATTTATCCAAAATAAAAATGATGTCAAAATATTATTAATATAAAAGCACATAAATGACATAGTGAAATTGTTAAATAACGTAATATTTCGAAGAAATGTCTTGTATTTTTGTTTTAACCCTTGACAAAAACCAACACCTCCACCCTAGCTATTAAAGAAAGATATTACTATTTCCACATTTTATTAGGATTTTTCTTCAGGTAGCCTCCTTGCAAATGTTATCATTACATATTAATAGAACAAAATTATACATACAAATTTAAAACTTTTAGGAAAAAAAAATAACATTTTTATATACGAACACTTTTAGAAAATAAGAAATTTGTTGAATTAATGACGTGACTATTTTTTTTACAAAAAGTTTAAGATCTCGATATGGCCTAGTTGAACACAAGAGAATTTGCATTTTGATTAGGGATCTAAAGGGAAAAAATTGTATCGGGTGTTGCCAGGGTGTTTTAGTCAATATAAGAAAGCTTAGTATTTTGTGGTTAACATATTTTAAAATATTTTACTGTCTAGTTCCCTATATATGAAATTTCTTTCTACAATTAATAATATTCGAGATAACGAACAACAATCTGAAACGAAGAGAATACCCTGTATTCCGAGGGAATAACTAGTGAAAGAATAATGACCATTTCAAATGAAATTTACAGGAAATAACAAGGAATTTAGAAAATTATAAGAGAATATGGGAAATGAATAGGAATATGAGTGAATACCAGGAAAAAAGGGAAATAAACGGAAATGCCCGAAATTTTCTTTAATCTTTTACATGGACTAAAATATAAAATATTTCTTGCGTACAGAATGACTTCGCGGTATTCGATAATGTGTTAATAATAATAATTAAATTTAAATGAAAAACATTACAAAACGAGTTGAAAATGTGCATTACAAAATATTAAATATGTAAAAAATTTTATACTTTTTGTTTAGTGTCAGAATTTTTTTTTGTCTTTCCTTTTCAGTTATCTTAACATTTTAAAGTGTCTTATATGATTTTTAATATTTTATTGTTATTATCTCAGGTTTTATTATTTGCTAAAGTTACCACTTTTTTTGTACAAAGTGTACCGCATAAGAACCGACACAGCGCAGGTGCATGTAGGGGTGTCCAAAATTTTGTAATTTAACCAACCATACCTATATACAAAGTTGCACCCCTGATTATTATTAGCCCTCAAAGTGGGACCCTAAATTAAAAAAAAATGAATATCTTTGGAACACTTTTCCGTGGAAGAACCAAATTTGGTACATGATTTAGGTTTATTATTGGTCTTCTTTGACTATGATTTAAAGTTAATTGAAGCACTACAAGGTGTTCATTGGGGATGACTTACCCCTAAAATTGTACCGAACTTTTTTTCATTGACCGAATTGAAAAATAGTAATATTAGTTCAAGTTCGGTATTTTGGACACCCCTACATGCACCTGCTCTGTGTCGGTTCTTATGCAGGACACCCTGTATATTTAGATCCACATATTAAAATTAAAAAAAAATAATTTAACGACTATTTTGGTTCTATCTTTGACAGGTAATGAGCAAATACTTATTAATTTTCAAAGAAATGGCATTTAGGTACCTACCCGCTTTGACAGTTTCACGCTTTAATTGTTTTCGAGCTTAGGTAAAAAATAGAAATAAAAAGTTTGTTACAACATTTACCCTTATGTAAATGTGTAAACATTTCGAAGAATAGCAAATAAAATCCATTTAAATCAAGTGGTACTATAACTGTTTACAATATCTATACACATGCAAATATTTTTAACAAGGTAATATAATTTCAACCAAATTTTTTTACAAAATATTTACCGTCTGATAAATCGCCTGCGGTGAAACCTTGTCGTCTGTCCAAGATTTTATGATAGAAGACGTTTACCTAGATACCTATATTACACCCTCCATTACACCGATGTACATTTTATTTTATTACTGAAATTCATTGCAATTAAAAGATTTGCATTAACAATGTGTAATAACTATGTTCTCCGCATATATTTGCATAATAAATGATATACTGATTGTCGCTTTGATAGCTCTTTACGTAAAGGTACTTATTAACAGTTGCGGGTTTTTTCTTGAATATAAAAGAGATGCATCACAATAATATTGGTAATGGTTTCATCTAAGCAAATTTCCCATTGAAAAATCGAGGCCAAGGCCTACTTCTCTGGACGGTAGATTTTACGGATTGGCCCCTGGGTATTCCAACAAATGAGTGTGACCGTAAACACTAAATTTAATCAAAGAATATCAGCGCAACTAATTTTTGTACTCACAATCTCGAAAATTATTAGATCAGAGTAATTTTTGTAGGGATACACGTGACGTAAATAATTGCTTAAATTACTAAAGGATTACTCGAATATTACTCAAGCTTGTACACTAAATTATCCCCATTTGTGTGGAAAATCAAAATTATTCAAAGCAAACCTATTGGCTAGCAATGATTTTTTTTTCTTCAAAAAAATCTAAAATCTAAAAGTAAGACACGTTGGAGGTAAATAGGAACAGGAGGCCCGGTATTATTTCCGATATATTAAAATTTTCGAGTTTCCTAAGCCTATTAATAAAACAACCTATACAAAATTGAAGATATTTTGTAAATATTATTATTTTATGATTGATTTTAAGATTGCTATAGTTCCTGAAAATTGCGCATAAAAATGCTCCCTTTAATTCTTCCACTTGATATTCCTATAAGAGCAGTAGGTAATTTTCTCCAAATTATTTTGAAATTATATAGTTATAGAAACACATTTTAGTTTTAAATACAGTATGTGTCAATAGCGTCCATTGCCATTGCCGATATGCACGTGTTTTTTACAATTATATTTTGAACTATAAACATTTGAAGAGTTTGTTGTTTTATTTCGCCAAGCGTCCTTAAACTCTGTAAAAATAAAGTGGGCATGAATCACTTTTGCATTTTTACACTATTTTAAGTTTAACTGAAAAAGGGTACTTTGCTTAATAGAAATTAGCACCAGTTGTTGACATGAATTTTTTAATTAAGTTATTTCTTAGAAAATAACATTAGCCTTATGTTTCTATTATTCTACTTATTTCTTATTGTATTTTATTTGACAGAAAACAGCTTGTACAAACTATCTTGGTAAATAAATGAATGTGTCTTGCCTTTTCCACCTTTTTTCAATGTCTGGATTGGGCCTTCAGAGCCTTCATAAATGTTTACAAGCCACCGAGCTTAGGCAACCTAACATTGCACGACTGGTATGTCTTTCTGAAGTCAGTTGAACATGTATGAAAACGCCTAGCAATAAAACTTAATGAGTTTCATAGGCGTCCCTAAAAAGTTTTCTGCTAAAGGTAAAAATAATAATTTGTATATTTTAATTATTTATATCCTCAAAAAACATTTCCATATTCGTTAATATACAGGGTGTACCATTGAAAACTTTGCACCTGGCTTATTTCGAATTACGTTCGAAAATATTAAAATTGCCGCGACACGTCCATTTTGTTTTCGAGGGGGACACATTTTAGCGTTAAATACAGACTCGCCAGAACAACCCCCTTCCCGGGGGCGCATTCAACTTTAGAATCTTAAATAGCACTCTAGGTCGAGTGACGCCTCATTCGAAAGTGCTTTTAATTCTGGTTGTCACCATGTAATTGTTTTTCAATTTTATTTAATCTGTTGTTGAAAAAAAATTTTTACTTATGCTTAGAAAGAAAAGACAATTTTGTATTAATTATTTAATTAATTGTTCAAAATGACAAAGGGAAAAGTATAAAAAGTTTCAATTTATTTTCACTGTAAAAACTGTTTACAAATAAAAGGTATTTTTAATAATGAAAAATAATTGGTAGATACTGATAACAAATTTATCAGTCAATATCTTTTAGTCACTACTCAGTTCTCAAAGAAAAGTGTTTAGCAGAAGTGTGTTAAGTAATTATTAATTCTAAAAATGACTTATTGGAAAGACGAAAGGGTT